GTGGGTTCCCTAGTAAGGGGAACAGGGACTGTCTCTGACCTGAACTCAGTGGCTGGCTCTTTGACTGCCTCCCGTGGATGGGGGAGCAGCCTTGCCAGGCCACAGAGGAAGACAATGCAGCCAGTTCAGATGAGACCTGATAAGGTAGGGTCAGATGGAAGGGGAAGAAGACCTCCCTTATCAGTGGACTTAGAAAGGGGCAGAGAGGAGATGAGGATGAGAGGGCAGGATTGGGAAAGGAAGAGGAAGGGGCTACAGCTGGGATACAAAGTGAATAAACTGTAATTAATATAAAAAATAAAAATGTAATTTAAAAAAAGAATTTATAAAATCCCGCTCTCAGTCAGGGCCCTTACTTTTAACTGCTCACACCCACTGAGCCTAGGGATTGAGTTTTCATTGAACTTCAGTCAAGTTTACAATGAGGACTTGGGTTTGATTTTTGACAACTTAAGCTTTGTGGCTGCTGGGGCAAAGATCCACTTCCAGGGCACACTTAGAAACTTTTATACTTTTTATGTGCACCCGAAGCCAGTTAATTTTATCACAAGTTTGTTCTTTTCCTTTGTCATTCAGCCCCAGATGATAGAAGCAACCAGCTGGCATCATTGCTGTCCTTGTTTTCTCATGAATTATCCAAAGCTTAACTCCTTGCCTCTCACAAGAGGTGAATGTGGATCAAGTGTGTTTATTGCATGTTTAAATACACGCGATCGTGCGGCTTTTTTTAAAGAAAGGCTACCGTTTAATAATAATGCATTTGTGTGCCAGGTTGACAAGGGCTCAGTTGTACTGCTTACCTTTGGTTTTTGTTTTGTTTTATCAACTTGACACAAGGCAAGATGATCTGAGAAGAGGGCCATCTCATTTCAACTGAGAAAATGTCTCTATCAGGTAAGCCTGTGCATATGTCTCTGTGGAACTTTCTTTACTGCTAATTGATAAAGGAGGGCCCAGACCCCTGGGGCCAGTACCATCAGCAGGCAAGTAAAGCCGTGACACATAAGAAAGCTGCAAGACAGAGGAAGCAAGCACCTGAGCACACTCCTCCACAGCTTCTGCCTCAGTCCTTCCCTGCCTTCCTTTCATTGTGTACTGTGAGCTAGAAGATAAAATAAACCCTTTCTTCCCCAAGTTGCTTTGGTCATTATCACAGCAATAGGAACCTAACTATGGCAAAGGGGAAAGTGAGAAGGACAAAGGATAAGAGAGGTAATAAAGGGACTGACTGTGAATAAAGTGTATCATATGCATTGTGTAGATGTCCCAATGAAGTCTCTTAGCTTGAGCAACTAACATGAACATTGCTTGGGGTAAGTCCTGAACTCAATCCTAGACAGGATGATTATGCAGATGTCCTTGTAAAGATGGACATGTCCTCAGAGGTAACCATAGTTGTAAACACTACAAATGCCTGTGCATTTGAATTAAAAAGGTGTATTTCTCACTTAAGCAAAGTGCAGGCATTTCTAGTTCAATGGCTCTCCTCTCAACAACAAGCTATGTAAGGTCTCCCTCTGTCTCTTGGAGCCACCATAGTGAAAGGAAAGGCAGAGTCCATGCTGGTAACAGTCACTCCGGAGTCTTAGAAGTGCCAAGGCTCCACACTCCGGCTAGCATCCAGGCCTGTCTGGAAGATGTTGTCTAGCTGTGAATTTGGGAAGAAGGAAAGAGTGGACTAGGTTTGAGCGGGCCTCTAACATGTTCTACCACGGGACGGCCTAACCCAGGTCTGCTGGGAACGCAGGCAGGGTAACAGACACAGTCTGGAGGGATAGAGTGAGGTCAGAGGTAGATAAAGCTGTGAATACAAGGCCTTGGAGATTTTGAAGGACACGGGATTGTTTTCAGACTTTCGTCGGCTACTGGTACAATTTTGGAAATGTGCTTGAAACACGATTTGGTGATGCACTATACACGTTCCTCTTTTCATATAACGGGTAAGCCGGTGTTCCCTAAGCCCTCAAAAGCAGGCTGTTCCTAGTAGCTTTGCTTTCAGAATGAGCCTGCTATGTGCTTACCAGAGGGTACGCTCACCTGGAATCTAGTTCCCCATTCATTCATGCATTTGTTCAACATTTAATAAAGACATCCGTCCCCAGACTCAATTTACAATTTTTAAAACATTTGACAAAGACTTTGATCTTTAAATCTCCGTTTGTAATTTTATAAAAATTTACAATCCTTGCAAGAGTTTCTTTCCAGGGTTTTGTTGTTGTTGTTGTTGTTTCTGTAGTAATTTTTCCTTAGGAGAAAAATATGTAACTTTTGGAGGAGGGAAAATGCAGTTGAGGCTCACACGTGGGGACTGTGTGAAGATGACAGGACACAGCATCCCCTCAGCCCTGGCCCTAATCTAGAACAGCCCGCCTTTGGCAACAGGAGTCATTGGTCGCTGCGTGCCACGTCACCACCTGAAAGTCCACACTGCCTCTGGATACAGGATTGTAGTCTTAATTTATAATATTCCACCTGTGTGCTGACTCTGCAGCCTGCTGCTTAAATGATTCTAATTAGAAAGCACGCAGGGGAATCCTTACGGGATTCCAAAGCTGCTAGGATCGCCTTTGATCTCCCATCTGAGCCACGGAGGTTTATTGTTTCAGTTTCTTCCCTTGGCGCTCCAGTTGACAATTATTGGTATTTTAGGGCCTGGGTATAGCAATGGGATGCCAGCAGCCTAAAGCAAGCACTCTGCCAGGGAGGTGAAACCCACCCCCAACGAAAAGGAAAAGATGCCATCCTGCATTTTATAAATAGCTGCCGATTTATTCATGAACTGCTGGATTGGTTGGATTTTTAAAGATGTTTCCAGCATTTCCACGGGGATAGTTCAGCGGATACAACCTGAAGCAACAGCGTGCTGAACCTCGGCTAGTTAAATTCTGTAAAATGCATTGGCGGCCCAAGGGATATGTGAAGTGGCGAAGGAGTTTGTCTTGAAGTTCCCGAAGAAAAGATTTGAGCTCTAAAGACAGTTTAATTAAGGATCTTCCGTTCTTTTCTAGTGGTTGCAGACAGAGGTAGAAAACGAGAGAAGAGTGGCGTGCCGGTAAGAAAGTTTTATTTATTTAATTTCATCCACCTTAGGAGAATCTGAAGGATTTATCCAATAGCGCCGGGGTCCGGGTGAGAAACGGCAATGTGTGACAAGCAAGGGCTGTGGGAACGCGAACTCACGCTTGACTGGGGCTGGGCTCCCCGGGAGGGAAGGACTGGGCTGGCCCTGGGGAGGAAGGAGGCGGAGGGAACGCGGTATAAAGTCTCCAGCCTAACAGCGCGCCCGCCACTCGAGCCGCTCAGGGAAGGCGGGAGCCCGAGCCACACCGGACCCCGTTCCCGGGAGCGTCAGGGATCCGCGCCGCCCGCGCCCGGCCTTTCCGCCGCCAGCAGCCGCCCCTGCAAGGCATGAGTCGCTCGCCGGAGCCCGAGGCTGCAGCGCGGTCATGAGGCGGTGGCGCACGAGCAGCGGCTGCGTTCCGGCAGCCCCCAAGTCCCTTCCGGGCGCGGCGCCCCCAGGATGAGCCCCCCAGACTCCGGACGGCCGAGCTGAGAGTCCCCGGCGCCCCGCGGGCGTCCGAGCACCCGCGCGCTCCGCGTCCCCTGCAGCCGCCCACGCGACACCTGCGCTCCGCAGCAGACGCGCGCGGACCGAGTCCAACCCAGCCGCCTTCCCGACGCTCCGGGCGCGGCGGACGCGCGACCCGCCGCACCGCGCGAGCAGCCGCGTGCAGAACCCCCGGGCCGGGCCAAGCCTCGCTGTGCCGCTCTGCACACTCGCCTGCCGGGGCCGGGGCGCGCGGCGGCGGCGCGGACACCTGGCCCGCCTGACCCCTCCGCTCTCCACGCCCGCGACGCCGGCTCTGCTTTGCCCGTAAACTTTTCTCGGGTGGCCCGGGCGCCCCGACTCGCCCGCAGCAGCCCCGAGCGTCCGTGCGAGTGGAGGGTCAATCTTGCCGCCACAACGACCTCGGCCGCGCGCACTTAGCACAGCCGGGAAGGCGGACGCCGGCGCCGGCGGGGCGCCCCCGGCATCCTCAAACGGTGACAACCGCGGCGACCCGGAGCCAGCCCATCCGGGGACGGGGCGCGCGGGGCGACGGGGCTGGCGACCCCGGGGAGCGCGCAGCGAGGAAGGCGGCGGCCCCGGGGGTGAGTGGTTCGGGGCCGCGGGGGCCGCCGTCGAAGCCCCCCTCCTCCTCCGTCCCCTCCTCCGCCTCTTCCCCGCGCTCCTCTGGCGGCCGCTCCCGCTCCAGCTGCGGCACCGCGGCCACATCTGGGGCGCCCATGTGCGCCCGGGGGCTCGGCCGCGCCCGCCCCGCCGCCGCCCCCGCAGCCCCCTGCCCGCAGGGTGGACCCTGGCCGGGCCCGGGCGGCGGACAGCC